AAATATTTCTCAATATTTGCTTGATAGAATGCACATATGATAATAAATGGAATTTTCAATATTTCATCGATTTCTTAATCTTGAATATTCTTGGAAAAAATTAAACCTCTGAAAAGCAAGCATAAAGAATACTTTTTCAAGATTGGCGATTAATGGATTCGAATGGAAATGTACTGTCCATAGTCTTCAGTCAATTTGTAAAACTGTTAAATTGCCCATATATAATATACATATAAATAATAATAATTTCTCTCAAGAAATATGCAAGTAATTAATTTGTATTAACAACCACTTTTATCTCAAAATTTCACTCGCTTTGAAATTTGCAAATCTTATGTTCTCTTACAATGTTTGTTTTTACTATTAAAATTTAAGAAGATTTATAATGTACATTGAATGATGATTGATATGGGATTCAAAATAGTTTCGCGATTATAATTATGATAAAACATATTTTGTCAATTATATATGCTGTCGTAATTTTTGTGGCATAGTGACATTTACCTATAATCATCATAAATTAGGGAAATGTCATTTGTTAATTCTGTCTAAAAAATTTTTATTGTTAATCGTCATTTGATAACGAAAAGAACAACTAATGAGTTAACAAGGCAAAATTATTTGCATAAAATAAAAAAATATCACGTCGAATTAAATACATATTTGAAATTGAGTAGTTCGCTGCCATTACCTCGTAAATCTGAGAAAAATTTGTATATCAGAAATTTCCAAACTCTCGAGAGAAACCCTTTATAAGATTCAAAAGGGAAGACATGATCACAACCATCAGTTTATCGATCGAAATGCAATCCATTTATATTAAGGCAAATCGATGTAATCAGAAATGATACAAAAAATTCTGACGCGATTAGTTTTAAGATAATGAATATTTCCAGCAGTTTAAACTCCTTTAAACAAAATATTGCAGAATCAGAAGTAATCATTGTTATCATAAGTTGTTAAACAATGTCGTCAACAGTGTTGGATCAAAGAAAAAGAAGCAAAATTTTTTGACAATAATGTAAACATAACCAACTTCACATTTCAATATCTGAAATAGAAAGTTCCGTAGAAACTGGTAATTGTTGATGCATGATGCAAGCTCTTACCGCATGTATCATTCTATTTTAAGTGAGAGAGAAAAGTTCCAATGGCTTGATAATTGCGTCACTGTCGATTATAAATACTGGATGTCCTGCGACAGATTCTACCCTTTGATCTGATTCAAGTTCAGTGAGCTGACTGAATAGTGCAACCTTTGCTTTTTTTCAGGCGAGATTAGTTGTACAGTTCCTTCATAATATGGCTTTGATAGTACGATTGAAGATTTATTTGATACAGGTTTATCGTCTAAAACTAAAACTATTAATTACATTTCCAATACTTAATAAATATTTCTTTCTTTATCTTCCATACAGTTAAAAATCAGAAAATACTAAGTCGTCTCATAAGTCCATGATTATTTTCGTTGACCATCTAATGTACACATTATACTTATCAGATTATTGAAAGTTTTCTTTGAAACAAATGACCCAAGCTTTATACTGCTTCGCAATGATTATTTCAACATCGCATGAACAGATTTTATGCAAAGAATAAAAGCAAATAATCCCGAGTAGGTTAAAGGTTGGCCAGAAACTGAACCAATATCGTTTTCATTCCATTTTGATGATTTTGGCTCATTGCTTGTCACGAATTGCTTCGATTTGGGATCGAAAATAACAAAATATCGAATTGATTTATTCCCCGATTGCTGGAGTGAATTATAATATTAGATTCTTCTATTCACAGCCTTTTATTTCATTTTTAGCTGCACTTTTTGCGTATTATAGGAAATCTTGTTTCACTTTCATTTTTCATCTACTTTTTCTAGATTTCAATTAAATTTTTTCTGTTAATTTGTAGCATATACTATAAAAACTTACCTGCGATGATGTTGAATTTACGCCAGCAGCAGCAACAGCAGAAGTAGTACTAACTTGAAGTTGTACTGATTTAATTGGAAATAGAGATAGTTTCTCTGAGATGTCCTGAAAGAAAATGATATAAATCAGAGAATGTATTTTAACTTTTAAATCATTGCTTTTTTATAATTTTCACTTCATTTGTACAATATCATATATATCTGGCATTCTTAATTGCATGATGTGATGATATGATATCACATCGTTGAATAAATAAACTTCACCATAAGATAGTTAATTAGAGTCACAATAATTATTTGTTTCATTACCATTAAATTCTAGTACTTCATTGTTTAGAGAATTGGATTCGCCATCAAAACGTATGAAATGTCTACTTAATCTTTCATTTGCCTTGAGGCGAAATGAATGAACAATAAGATGAAAGCGAATGATCAATTAAATGGCTTTTTGAATCATTTTAAATTATATTAAGTGCTGTTTTAATTATAAAAAATGATATAAAATTTAGTGAGCAACTCGAGTATTTTTTTCTTCTATTTTGATGGCAGAAGAGGTGGAAGAAATAATACTTAATTTACAATAGTTATAAAATAAAATAAAAATGTTTATCTCATACAAATTAGATGATTTTGCTTTATGAGAACAAATACAACTCAAATTCAAAATGAGCGGAAACTTAAAATTATTTCAAATAGTTTTTAACCAAAAAGTTGATCGATTACCCTGCTGTTTGCAGTAACACTAGCTTCATTAACTGCTTCCATTTTTGTTGTCCAGTCTTACTTCGATTGAAATTGAGCATCTGTCGATCGATACTTTTCTCCAAATTTAATTCATCTGCAACAAATTTCCATAATTATGTTCTTTTCCCATGATCATGGAGCCCAGCAATTGATGAGCATTGCAAATGTTTAAAAGTAATTTGATTTCCTTTCTTCCACAGAAAAAAAAAAAAAAGAAAAACAAGCAGCAGATGCATGAGATCAATTTCGGATTCAAAATCTGAACTTTTTGGGAAAGGAAAGGGTTGAAATTTCAGATTTTTCTAAACAACTGTCATATGCAGTTTGTAAAAAAGTTTTTGTTCGAGTTTAATCTTAAGAACGTTACAAAAGACATGAAAATTGAAAGCTTGCAAATGAAAGTCAATAAGTTTATTTGTAAATGAAAAACGCTTTATCAACGAATATTGAAAAAGAAGATTATGCATAATAAATTTATTTGTTTTGTAAACGACGACTGATACTACTAAATTATTTATGATTGAAAAAATAAAAAGTTTCTATCTCCGTACCTTGAAGATTAGGAAGGCTTGCCTGTAAATTTTTTTGAGATACACTATACCGGAAGATGGTATATCCGGATCTCTGGCAAAAACTCTGAAAATCATAAAAATTTTAAAAATTCTTTCATTTTTGTAAAAAGTGAAATTCTGAGCAGAAACGCGTCATATTTTATGTCTTCAACATTATGATAATCCAAATTATAATTCAAAAAATCGATTCATAAAAAATTTCTTTTTTTCTCAAAATAGCAGAATATAATTACTATTACAGACCTCGGTGGAGTGTTTCTCTCGAAATTTCGCAGATATTTGGGCGCAATATAATTCGGATAAACAGGGTAGTACAATATTAGGCTGTCTACAATGACGACCGCCAATAATGTTACAAGCACCGATAAGGTAAGCATATATCACTATAATAGAAATAAAATATTGAATAACAGAATAAATACTTTTTGGATTTGCAATATTTGAGATCATTCAGCAATCAGGAAATAATATGATATATTACTGCATGTTTAACTTGAAACTTTCGGAGTAGTTCTTCGGTTACTGATTCAATGATAAATAGACATATAACGAAATTATTTTTTATCATGTTTTTAATTTCGATTATCAAAAATTTATTTAATTTATTGAATATCAGAAGAATCAGATTTACTCTTTACATTTATCAAGAATGTCTTCAGATTTCATCTTTTTTTTTGAGAAATTGATAGATAAAAGAATTTTAAAAAACCTTCAACATTATTGGTAGAATTGCCCTTAAGAATTCGAAGTATAATGAAGTATAATTGAAAGAAATATGAAAAATCAAAAACAGAAACATTGAAAGGGAATGAATTGTTATGATAATGATCTTTGCATAATGTTTTGAAAATGTTAACGAAGATTTTGAAACAAAAAGATTTCATTAAAATTATTGCAATACTGGTGAAAAACACCTGTTTGACTTTTGTAAACTCTTGCAATTCGATCCGATCAAATTGATGAGAAGATTAAAAGATTGCCTTTGGTTCTGGTGTATATATATATATACCTAGAGTGATATTTACATACATGCATGAAAGCCGTGATTGGAAAGATGTGAAAAGCGATAATTGCAATGGACGTGGAAAAAACACGTTGTTATACCGCATAATGTTAACGTGAAATACTTGCAAAGATTCTGCAGACAGGTAAGTGAGATGCGAAGGCAAACGGAAAGAATTGAATAAATCATTTCGATGAAGAAATGTGTAAGAGATCGAATGGAAAATAATGCAACGTAGGCACGGGACAAGACGAAAGTGAGATGACACCCATTTCTTCGTGCTGTTGATTTACGTCATAAAGATAAAAGAACAGAGGAAGATGAGATAAGAAGGAGGTCAAAGGATGATAGAAATTCGGTCGAAGAAGTAAGAAAATTAATAATCAGATGAATCTTATAGCTTTGGTTCGACGACATACTTTTTTCTTGTCATCTACTGAAATGCTTGCTATATCGGTTTGTCGAAAAAATCATCCTTTAGCATATTATAATTCCTGTGTCATATTTTTTCAGATAACTTGAAAAAAATTTAGATAACTTAAAAATTAATAATATGACGTTTAACAAGCATTTCGAGATTCTGCGGAAATGATTCGAATTCCAATCTTTTTTCACTTTTTTTTTTTAAAGAAAACAGCCTGTCATTCAAAATCGCTGATAATAAGAAACTATCGAAATTAGCAATCATATTATGCTATTATTATCAACAGTAATAAAATACGCGGCGACAACAGTCGTCTATGAGTAGCATACTAAACGACCCTGGCAGGACTCGAACCTGCAATCCCTGATTAGAAGTCAGATGCCTTGTCCATTAGGCCACAGGGTCAATCGCCCACATTCTCATCATTTTCATGACGTCATATATGCTTTTCATATTATTGTATGTTGTGGAAATAGCACAGAAAGTATTTATTGTAAGTTCGAGCACTATAATATGTCGGCTAAGATGTAGGTAGAAAGAAAATCATCCTTAAAAACTTTTCAAATTTGTAGAGACATGAATTTCCAGATATTTAATCCTTGTATGAAAGAATTAGATGATTTATTTAAAAGAAGTGAATGAATGAAAAAAAAAAAAGAAATCAATATAAAAAAGAGATCAGTAAAGAAGAGGTCAATGAACAGATGGACAAAATGAGATGATACATGGATTGAAATTTGACTCTCTATAAAACATTCCATTCATTTGAATTTATTTCGTGAAGTTATCATTTGCGATTTCTTCGAGAACATTTCTTAATCAGGAAAGATACGATTGTTTAAAGATTAGGAAGAAATGTCTGATGATCGTAGAGGAATATTCCTTTCAGAAAATAGGAGTTCTATTCCCCTAATATACTTGTTATTCTTTTTCCAAGTTTTATATGAAATTTAATTGAAATTGATGTAATTAATTTTTGGAATTATGTAGATTTCAAATCCGAATTAGCAACAATTTAAAATAATGCGAAGGGTTAAAAAATTTTAGAGTATAAAACATCCTATATGATTTGATGACATTATCTGCTAGAACAATAGATCATCCTTAGCTGATAGTTAAATGAGTGAGTCACTCAGCCATTGTCAGATAAGAAATTCTTGGTCGTATTCAAGAATAAAGAATAAAGAGTTTGAAACATCGCAAATAAATGATTCCAACATTAGGAAAATTTCAAACGATAACTGAATCTTCTCCGTTTTTAAAAAATCGAACATTTTACTTTCAGTTCCAAACTCCATATGCTAAAGATCATATCTTACTGCTTTCATAACTTTTTTATTCACGCAATTTTTTTTTAATTTAAATTAAGCAACTATTAATTTATGTAAAATCGAGAATGAGTGTTAGTTGATCAGCGCAAATCTTCCAGACGAATGGGTTTAAAGCGAAAATACTTGAAAAAATTTATCCTGATTGAGTAACAGTGATTTCTAGCTTTGTACAAATTAATAACTGTTTGACCCAATTTCAAAAAAAAAGAAACAAATTTTTAATTTTTATTTCATAACAAATGCGCATACTTTTTCATGCGGCCTCTTTCCATTATATATTATTACCTTCTAAATGAGATATTTTTATTTCTGTCTTCGGAAAAAAGAAAAAATTAAATATGATCTTCATGATCCCCACACGTAAAATCCTGGAATTTCTAACAAAACTTATCAATTCTTTATTCTACTATTTGTGATCCTCTTTTTCCAAATTACATATATCTTAATATATGAAGAAATATTAAATTATCAAATATATCTCTCTCAACAGCGTTAATATGTTTATTGTTACAAAGTAACAAAGTAACAATAAGTATATTCAATCAATTCATATTTATCATCCAGTTGTTTTTGTTGATTGCCTTTGTTTACTATTTTAAATTAATTGAACTAAAAGTTTTAATACTCCGATACTGTTACCTATCACTAAGCAGACCTCTTATCAATATCCTTACTACATTTTCATTGTCAGCAACAGCTGACTAATACGAGCAATGTATTCATACTTATTTGATACGTTAACCATTCCTCTTATTCCGAAAGAATTTCAACTTCTTCTGTATGGTCGTATACAGCATGAAAAATGTCACGAAGCTCACTTCTTTATTTCTTAATCACTAATGTTAATTCTTCTTTTTTTTCTATAAAAACTTTACCATTCTTGACAGCTATATTTAACACTGCAAATTGATCATCACATTTGCAATTTATATCATATTTATTCTTCTCCAATTTCTCATATATCTTGTCAGAGTTTTTATGGAGAAAAAACTCTGACAATCAATATTTTTGATTACCTTTCGTTTGTTAGTTACAGTATTTCAGTTCTATATAATACATTACGTTTAATAAGTATTTGGCATTCTATTTTTAATTTCTGATTTTCCAATTATTTTGCTTTCTTTTCAGACATTTCTGATATTTATTATATGTAACATTTATGACAGTTATTTATATTTCATAATTTTTGCTTCACCATATTTATTTTCGCCATACTATAACTAAGAATGTAATAGTTCCATAAACAAAAAGCATCATTGCATTATTAATTTAGTTAAATCAATTATGGTCATGCAAGGAATAAGTGAGTCCCTCTTTGAGTTACAAAAAATTCACTTAATGACTTTCTATTTTTCTTAAAATTATAAAAAGTATAATGCAGCAATCTTTTTAGTTCCATATAATAGAAGCAATTGAGGCTTCAGTTAGAAGGAAGTGAAATTCTCTTCAAGAAATAGTGGCATCAAATTAATAAACTTCTGAAAAAAACTTTGCAAATTTTAGGACTGTATTTTTATCCGATATATCTGAAATCTCTATCCGAAACTTCAATTTTTTTGTCATCAATCGACAGTTTATGAAAGATCAATTTCGCTATCATGCTTGCGGCCGTTTTCCATTTTTCAACGATACTTTTGCGAACTAAATTGAGATCTTTATCTTTTCTAAAGCCTTTATATTGGCATTCTGTTTTGTTAATTAAAAAATACATTAAAGGAAAGCCTAACCATCCTTTCTCATTATTAATAAATTTAAGCTAACATATACACATAGTAGATGTTCTGAAGGAAGGATAAGTTAAGAATATATTGGACATTTTCGAATTAAATATATTTCATTTATTGTAAGTACATGAACATTGAAAGCAATCCGAGATTTCTTTTCAATAGAAAACATATGAAACTTTTCAATAGAGAGCATATGAAACTTTAAATAAAATATTTTTCCGTGAAATTAATATTAAGTCTAATAATAATCAGTTGCATTGCATTTCTTCAGATATTCAAAAATAATAATAAACAATATATGATAGTACGTAATTATGATGTGCTTGGATCAGTAACCATGAAATCAAATAAGATAAAAATATTCAACAACAATGAGATCTATTTTGCATCATCATCGTCGTTTATATTCACTAGATCAAAAAACATTCGTTAAATCATTTTTTTAAAAATAAAGTCTCATCTCATGATCCTACCTCCATGAAAAATTCTTTATGCTTCACTTCAAATTCTTAACAATAATTATTATTTCATTTGAAATAAATAAACTTCTAGAAAAATTTTTTCTGCTTACAGATAATTTAACAGAGTTGTTCACGACATGAATAATTATCTTACAAGTACTGATAGTAGCTTTAACGACTCTTTTCTATAATTTTTAAACATGTTTTAATATTTGTGCATGTGAAGAGTTCCTGATGAATTTAGTGCTAATGACCTGATGGCAAGATAAAGATGAATCCTTTCAGAAACTTTGGTAATGTGCAATCGCTTGTTTAATTAATATGACGTCACATCTAATTAAATAAGATTAAAAATAACAAAGCATTAAAAATTTATAAATTACATTTATATGTAGCATATGTTAGTTAGTTTAAAGTAGATAAAGGAGGATTGATTTTGCGAACAATTGTATCACTGTCTTTGCTGGATGGTCAGTAGCAATCATCAATAGAATTCTCATCAGATGAAACGATCATCAAATGTACGACATACTTTTTTTTTAAACCATTCATTTACAAATGCAAATTGACATATTAGAAGATTCGAAAATAATTTTAAAAAAATGTATTTTGTAAAAACCGTGCATACTAAACATTCGACATCATGCTCATCACATCTAATATTTCACTCATATTTTCTTTGATATATTAACAAAGATTATAATAAAGGTGTTCATTTTCTAAAAATCTTTGGAAAAGATGATTAAGAATGATAAAGTTGAACTGCCCAAACCTGAATTGTAAATTAAATGAATCGCAACCAGTAATTAATATATTTTTAGAAACGAAAATCCTTTTCTAAGGAAGGTATTAGTTTCATTAGTAAAGTGAAATTTATTTCAAAAAGTTTAATTTCAAGGGATGAATGGTAGTAAAGACATTTCCCGTCATTTCGTCCTTCGAAAAGTGACTAAGTACGGAAAATTTAATTTAGATGAAGATTTATGATATCACAAATCAAAAGAGTTCCGATAACAAAAGCGTTTGTTAATGTGATAATGACATAAAAATTGAAGAAATTGTAACAGCAAAAAGTTTTAGGCCCATTTCGACAGCCACTAATTAGTAGATTCCATGACCAAGAAAGTCTTTAAAGACAACAGACTTTTTAATATTACTTCAGAAGAAGTATATGGTATTAACGCTAGTTTCTTATTCAAAAATAATGTCTATTGATACTGAAAATCTTTTCTGTTCGTTCAAGTACGAGAGGAAAAAATGAGAAATTAGACATATGAATGATGTATAAAGAACCGTATTTTTCTAATTTTATGAATAAAGTAGAAATAGTGAAGAAATTTTTTGGATAAAATATAGGATAGAAATCTTTAATTTTCACTAAATTCAAACTTCAATTAAAAATCCAAGCACGCTGTTGGATAAGTAATAAAAGTTAAACAGATTGAGTACCAAATAATTCAATATTTATTAAGAGAAGAATAACAACATCAGTCAACAATAACAAGTAAGGATCAAAAGTAACGTCCAAGTTTCTGGACCTTCAGCAGAAATAAAAGGAACTTAAAGACATAAAATAGTCAAGGCTAAATTCTACGGCACATTTATAATATCCGATAATGGTTCCAATCCTGGGTCAGGTTGTTTCAGAACCCTTTGTAGTGTCTTGTAAGCATCAATAAGCACATCTCTTGCCGCTCCCTAAAAGAATTTTAGCATATTAAAACATCATGTCGAAGAAAACTAAAAGATTTCTAACAAACCAATCAATCGATCTGAAAGAGCTTCTGATGAACAGTACCATCATCAATTTTCTGAAGATAAAGTGAACGGCAGTGTTCACAATAAGAGCTGAACAAGCATTAAGAAAAAAGCTACTTAATTCTGAA